GGGCTTGATCCCGGGAACCCTGGTCATGGACAGGGCCGCGGGGCGTTAAACCCCCAGAAAACCCTCCAGGTATCCCTTTTTTTCCTGTGTATGGACCCCTCCCCTTTACAAAAACTACAGTTTTTTTTCCACTTCCGGGACACCCCTGCAAACCCCCCTTTTGAATTTTCAGTTTCTTTGGGGCTTTCTATTTCCCTTTTCCTGTCTCTGAAGCATTCTCCCCCTTTGTTCACCTTGTCAATTTAACTCGTACAGTGGCCCCCGCAAAACGATGGCATACAAAAACGATTAACCCGCAAAACCGCTTGTTTTAAATTCGAAAAAAAAATTTTCCCTCACTTACCGAAAAAAAACCCCGGGCCTTACCGATTTCGCCCGGACAGGGCCCAAATGTGCGGCCGGGACCCCACGCTCAATGTTCCCCCGGGTGGCATTGTTTACCACCCACCCCCCCCGGGGGTAAACCCAAAAAGCATACAATCGGAATATTTCGTTTTATTCCCCAGTGTTTTTTTTTGTTTTTTCGGGAAAAATAAGTGCCCCATGGGCCCCAAAAAAAGTTTTCTAGTGCCAACCCTAAAAGCAAAAAAGGGTGAGAATTACAATAGAGATAAAGGGAAAAAAGATCATTTGAAAAGTATGGAAAAATGGGGTGCATGTCTCCGAGTGGCCCGGGGTTTTATAATAAACCCCAATCAAAACCCCCTTTTTTGCTTTCATTGGGGGGTACAGCTGCTGGGTGCACTGTCAGTGTGCTGCTGCTGCTGCTGCTGTAGCCCCGTTGTTGGTGTGGCTTATTGAGAATTACCAAGAAACAATTAACCCCAGAGGATTTGCCACCCGGGATAACCCAAAAAAGTCAGTGTCATCGAAGACTGTCTAACTTATTTCCTTTGGGGTCCTTAATCTTGTCTCCCAGGATGCAACCCACAAAAGTCGACTAACACCCAGGGGGAACAGGGAAAAATGCTGGAACTAGTGCTCATATTGGTGAATTTAATAGCCAGCAAAGGTTTGGGTTTTGAGAGATTTAAGGAATCGTAGTGGCATACACAGTGTGATAAGGCCTGTTCTGGAAGAAAATGCCAAACAGGACCTACAGTACTCAGGAGGAAAAGGCACCCCCAGGACACAGTGTCTCATCAGTCATTGCTGCATCTTCAATAAAGGTAAGTGTCATTTATTCTTCATTTAGTAGATTTAGTACATGCACAATATATACTGTGCATGTACTACTCTACTATTGTGCATGTATCCTTCTCTTTGTGTGTGGGAAAAATGTATATTTCATGTGGTAAAATTTTTTTTTTCATACTTTTGGGTGTCTTGCAGGGATTAATTTGATTTCCATTATTTCTTAGGGGGAAAAATTCATTCGCATACCGATTATTTCGCATAACAATTACCCCTCTTGCACGGATTAAAATCGTTAACCTGGGGTTCCACTGTATTTTGTACGTCGTTATCACATCCCCCCTAGCCCTCCTGTCCTAGAGTGTCTTCAGGTTGAGTTCTGTTGCAAAACGTTTGACATTCTCCAATTTATTGACGTGCTTAACCTGGTGTGGGTTCCTTTACTGATGCTGCATACTCTAGTATGGGGGACGTACACGCTGTACAGTCTCGCGAATGACTACTTAATGTCGAAACTCTGTTTTTAGTGTCGGAGTCAGTGTGTAGAGTGGACGTATGTGCTGCTAAGAGGGTGTCTGGGGGGTAGTAAAATTTAATTGGTCATGACAGTGAAGATTGTCGACTGTATGAGTGAGGGAGACCTTGTCTCCTCTTTTCCCCCCCCTTCCCCTTTCCTTCTCCCCTCCCTCTGCCACCCTTTCTCCCTCTTTTTAACCTTTTTATTGTCTAGCATATTTCAAGTTTTATATTTTTTGTTTGTGCTTTGAGGTCCCACTAAATTCATGTTTTGTACAGTTGCATTACTGCCCCCTTACTGACACGCAACAGAGTAGGTTTAAAAAAGTGGCCTCCCTAGTAACACTATCTGGCCCCCCCAATGTCTAGCCAGTTCAGTACATTTAGTCTCTCATATTTAAGAAAGGAATAATTTTGATTTGATTATTTTAGCAATGTGTTGGGCAGACTTTGCAAACAAACCTGATAATCATATTAATGTTATACAATACTCACAAGATGAATAACACATGTACAACACTTAGGTATCTTTATGCCAACCTGGCAACGCTGATTTTTCTTAATATAAAACCCCTTTAGGTATGTAAGCTAGATTTCTCACAGCTGAATGAAATGAATTAGGTCTAATTTTTGTCATTCATAGCATGGACCACATGAACGAACACAGTTCAGAACTGCAAGGGAAAAGAATGTTACGTGCATAAGAGTAATGTTACATTACATGGCTTATGACAAAATTACTTTCATCTCATAACTTCATTGTTTGTAACGAATACTTAGAAAAAAAGAACAATATTCTTTGCTACAACTAGATTTAACCCTTTGAGGGTCGACAGGCCCTCTCCGAAACTCGTTCTCAGGGTCGGCCAAATTTAAAAAAAAAAAAAAAATTATTTTTTATGAAAAAAATAGTTTTTTTTTTTTCTAAACCATTATAGGATAAGCAAAAAAAATTTACCATCAAATACTTACGGAGATATGGATGCATGAAGTTTGCAGAAAATGAGCCGCGTATGGCAACAGCGGCGACTGCCGCTCACCCGGTAAAACTTTAGTTTACTTGTATTTGAAGGTTTGTTGTTTTTTTCACTATTTTATTTTTTCACATAACTTATGTGGCCTGTGAGACCAAAGTAAGGTGCAATGTACATATATACACTCGTTGTATACAACACAATAAGCACACAAACATAATTATCAATATATTGTTTACAAAACTTGTTTACAAAAAAAAACAATACAAAACATTGTTTATTATTATTGTTCTATAATATATATACCAATATACAGTCCATGAACATATTCCTATTAGTTCTGCAGCTTGTGGAACTCTGAAACATGGTGTCATACACAATGGTGTTTTATCTTTCTCCCTCATTCTCTTTCAATCTGTGTCTCTCTTTCTGTCTGTCTATCTCTGTCTCACAGGTACACATAAATACAAGTATACATAGTATAAATAACCTAGGATAACCCAAGAAATCCAGACAAAGTGCTATACTCTGCTTGAAGATGTGAGTAGTAAAAGTGATGACACAGTCTTGTGGCTCTCTGAGACAGAGCTAGACGGATAGACAGATAGACAGGGAGCTTGACAGACAGACAAATAGACAGACAGAAATGTTAGTGTACCAGTACCAGTGTACTAGTGTTCCACCCTCCTCCCTCCTCTCTTCTTCCTCTTTCCTCCTCCTCTTCTTCCTCTTCCCCCTAATCTTCCTCCTACTATTCCTCTTCCTCTTCTTCTCCTCCTCTTCCCCCTACTCTTCCTCTTCTCCTTCTCTTCCTCGTCCATAGTGTAAATTACAAGGAGTCCGCAGCTGTCAAAGTGACATATTGGCTCATTACTCTTTCCCCCTCCGGCCTGTCAAAACAAAGGGGTCGGATGCTGCTTCCCCTCCTCCATTCTATCTATCTTTCTCCCTCATTCTATCTGTCTGTATCTCTGTCTCACAGGTACACATAAATACAAGTATACATAGTATAAATTACCTAGGATAACCCAAGAAACCCAGACAAAGTGCTATACTCTGCTTGAAGATGTGAGTAAAAGTGATGACGCAGTCTTGTGGCTCTCTGAGACAGAGAGCTAGATGGACAGACAGGGAACTTGACAGACAGGCAAATAGACAGACAGAAATGTTAGTATACCAGGAAAAACAAAGGGAGGGCGATGTTCATCTCATCTTTTGGCATAAGCTCTACCCTCATCAAATGTCAGCACTTATCAGATGTTATTTCCCCTTATCTTGTTACTGTCATGGGTGAACATTTATTATTACATATTATTACCTATTATTATTATTATGTATTATTATGTATTATTATTATTATGTATTATTATCATTACGTATTCTTCTTCTTCCTCCTCCTCCTCCTCTTCCTCTTGCCTCCTCCTCCTCTTGCCTCCTCCTCCTCCTCCATTCTTGGAACAAGTTTGAAGAGCTTGTAGTTCATAATCACTATCATTATCATCACCAATGCTCACAACTGAGTCTGGGATTTTGGAAAATAGGAGTTTCCTCTTTGATTCTGGTACAACTGAACGACGGCCCAGCACCAGAGATGGAAGGCTGTGGGTTGTCTGGGTTTTCCTCACTATTACCCATATTATGGTCATTAGTTTCGGTCAAAACCTCACCAGAACCTTGAAACTCATCTTCACTGTCACTTCCATCTGTATTAGAACTGTCACTGGGGAACAAAAGTGTCCCAATTCGCCGAGGAGTGAGGAACTTCTTACTCCTGGGCACGGTGGAAATTGTGTACTATGATGGCATTCCCACAATGCACCACTGGGTCCCAGATTTTTTTCCTACTGCGCACACCCACCACACAGACCCATTCTCTCACATCTAGGCTTATCAGCCTTTTCCTGCGAGATTTGAGGCCGCTAGAATTTATGCGTACTAGTACGTCAAAAACCCCTACGCGTAAGACGTACTAGTACGACCAAAACCCTCAAAGGGTTAAATACCGAGTTTACTTTCGTTATGCCAAGATATGAAAATGAGTTTTAACTCTTGGCTTGAGTGTACCCGGATACAATGAGCATTTCCAAAATTAAAGACTCGTGCTCAAATTATGAAATGTTTGAATCACCATACATGTGTGAACAGAAAATTTCTGTAAATCTGAACAAATCAAAACTTAAATCTGCAGTGACCTGACCTAACCTGACCTCCCTAGGGCAGTATTCGGCAGTGCAACAAGGGAGACAGTGCCAGACTTATATAGTTTGATTAAAACACTGATCAGGGCTGTCATTCTTACCATTGAAGCAGCACTGTATAGCCCTTGTGGCTTAGCGCTTTTTTTTTTATTTAATAATCTTCCCATTGAAAGAACTCTCGCTTACATTTACATTTATTTTTTTCAGTGTACAAATGGAAGTTATGAATTTGAGCAATTATCGAACAATTGTAATTATGCACCGAAGAATAAAAGTATATTGCCCACAAGACTTATTTAAGCTGGAAGTAAATATTGTGATGATACTGACGAGGTGTGGAGAAGACGGCTATGTACAGTTCAGGACATTTATTAAGGACGAGTTGCACCACGTCACTTGCTCCTGAAGAAGCCATTCAGGGTTATAGTTTTTTCCTGCTGTCCTTAGCTGTATATAAATAAAAAGGCACAATACCGTAAATGGGCAATATATACACATATTACTGTGTATGATAATTGTACTTGGGTGGACCTGTACCTCAGTAGTCACAAACCCGGACTAGGAGACGGAAACTTATGACTACGTTTCGGTCCAACGTGAACTATTAACTAGTCACACAGCCTTTGTGACTAGTTAATGGTCCAAGTTGGACCGAAACGTCGTCGCTTTGTCTCCTATAGTCGTTATTTGTGCACTAGTTGATTAGGCTCGGATCTACCGTGAGGCCTGGTCACAGACCGGGGCCACGGGGGCGTTGACCCCCGAACATTCTCCAGGTATACATGCATCATCTGTTGATGCATCATCTGTTGCTGGAGTTTTTATTTTCTTCTCTTCCTTCTTTTTGGCATCTTCTTTCTTTCTTCGTTCTTCAAATTCTGATATCAGTTCTGGACAATCTAGGTGGCATCCTGGTTCCCATGTGTTGTCTTCACTGTAAAGGATAAACTTTTATTACTTAGATTAAACTAATAAATACCCTAGTCGAGCTATGTGATAAAAAATACCAATCCCAAGAATCAAAGCTAGAGAGGGTAATATGTGATAGGTATGTAATTAGCTTTGACATTTGAAGAGAGCTTTGACTGTATAGGTAATATATTCAGTACTCTTGGCAATATTAAAAAAAAAAAAAAACAGTAAAAGCAACTATGCAATCTGAATAATGCACAACACAAAATTATACTATCATAACATCAGATAAAAAAAACATTAAATTATTAAAAGACTCCTACAAGTTCTAAGACATCTATGGCACTTGAATTATAAAATGCATGAAGAAAGTGTTGACCTAAGCCATAAGTCAAGTATTAAAATGTGTTTCACATGGGAAATAGAAGGGGGAAGCAACTGCCAGCAGCTGACTACAAGCAAGATGTGTGGGCTCGATCCTCAAATTGACAAGTTTGGCCTCAACGTGACAATTTCTGCTTAAGGAGTTCATACATAAGGTGGATACTTAGCTTCAACAATCAGAGAATTGACAAAATATAAGGAGAGTTATCCAACATTCCTTGAAAAACCATGCAGTACAACCCTAACTGAAACCAATGCATGGAAAAATTGAATACAGAAGTAAACAAGGTCTGTATTCAATTCAATTTGCTGAGATCCAAATGGAACACAGGAAAAATACCTACATGAAAATTACCAATTTAGAGCAGAACCTAAAGTATTTCTACCAGAGAATAAATAAAAATAAAAAAAAAATTACCAAAAAGTCATTCAGGAAAATTGAATAAATAAATATATTTCACAAAAGTTAGTCAAAACCCTCTACCACTACTGACCCCTCTATATAAAGGTGGGTTATAAACCAATGATAGAAATAGAAACTAGGGAAATCCTAAAGGAGCTTATGCAAGCTGTCCCTACTTTTGCCAAGGCTATCAGGAAGTGTCATTCTCTCAGAGGAATAGATATAGGCAGGTATTTCAACTGCCACATGAAGAGACTAACTTCCATGACTTGCATACTCGCTTTAGGTCAATAAAGTGTTAAACTCTATACTTACTCTCCATAACCCTTCCATTTTAGGTAGTATTCAACACGACCATTTCGTACACGCTTATCTAAAATTTTCTCAACTGAGTACTCCTCCTGGTCATCTGGATCCGGAGAATGGTCCTCTTTTTTGGTCATCGTGTTTGATTCCCCTAAACAAATATATAACACTGTAATTTTAAAGCATATTTACTTTTATTTTAAAAACAAAGTATTATGCACACCAAAATCATATGAATTATACTGCAAAAGTGAGTTATACAAAGAAAATATGTTTTGTGAAATGCCAGTCTAGGTAATCGATATAAAAATTTCCATGCTTGTAGCTCAGCTAATGATATCATTCACTTGTATATACGTACACAGTAAAAACTAATAAAAAATCTACTGAAGAATTAAATCCAGTTTACTCCCAAATAAAGACAACAATATATAATTTAGTTTTACCTGAGACTCCCAGTTTGAACCCTAGTTAGCCGCACGACCTTAGCCCGCATTTTCAATAACTTACGAATTAAATGTACGTACTTTTCAATTTCCGAAAGTAGTACTCCATTACCATTATAGCACACTGGGGAAGAATTACCATTTCCATTAGTGGAGAACATTATCATTATGGAGTTCCTGGGCAGGGTAACTTCCCTTCACCCCTTATACAAAGCTATGTTTTTGGGGTGGGGTTAAGGGTAAGGCCTAGCATTGCTGCTTAGTATAAACAAACTGGTCAGTGTTCTTGACATGTGCTATATGACTGTCCCTGGTAATTTGTACATTTTCCATAATTATCAAAGTCACATCTCTGGATAGTGATCATGACACCCAAGAGGAATAGCAATGCTGAAGGTACCAGAAAGAAAATTGTGTGAAATCTAATCATAAAAAAAGACCACCACCCAGACATCCCTAGACGGCTTCTACAAACATCGAGTTCACTAGTGTAACCTACTGTACACCAGTAAACAAAATGGGTTATAAATGAAATAAAGTTTGTAATAATATAAATTTAATAAAACAGACAGTGAGAAGGTATTGGCACGAATGTCGTAGCAGCTGAAGTCAATGGCACTGATTCAGACTCCTCTCGAGACGCGTTACCTCTGTTCACTCTCTTGAAGCGGTCTACGGATGTCTGGGTGGTGGCCGTTTTCTTCTCTTCATAGACGAGAAGGTAGCAGTGTACTGCATCAAGGACAGCTGCTGAAACCTTGGTTTACCATTTCACATTTGGGTCCTGTGATTCAAACAACGAGTCTCCAAGCAAACGAAACCCCTCTGCCATCACGTCTGTCTGAAAGCTCCTCAGTTCCAAAACCACTTCTTTTTCGTCCTTCCTTCTCTGGGTTTCCAGCTCCACGAGGTCTTCATTGGTCAACTCTTCTTGAATCAGCATTAGGCTCAGCAGCACCTCACACTACTGCTGATCTTCGAACCAAATGCTTAACAGTTTTTCAAGATCTTCCATCACTTTTCCATGTCTTTTACTGCCAGTGCAGACTGCACTGGCAGTGAATTGTTCATGTCTTCCATAATTCTGTCCTTGCTCTTAAGAATTGTGCTAATGGCAGAACAATTCACGTCATACAAATGGGCGACATTCACCATCTCTTCATCTCGCTCCACCTTCTTTACGTCCATTTTTGTTTCCATTGTGATGGCCTGGCACTTCTTGGCAACAGGGTTAAATCAAGGAATAAATGTTTGTAAAACAAAAATTGCAAGGAGCACCACCAAGGCAGGGTGACCCAAAAAAGAAAGAAAATCCCCAAAAAGAAAATACTTTCATCATTCAAGACTTTCACCACACTCACACATTATCACTGCTTTTGCAGAGGTGCTCAGAATACAACAGCTTAGAAGCATATACGTATAAAGATACACAACATATCCCTCCAAACTGCCAATATCCCAAACCCCTCCTTTAAAGTGCAGCCATTGTACTTCCCATTTCCAGGACTCAAGTCCGACTATATGAAAATAACCGGTTTCCCTGAATCCCTTCACTAAATATTACCCTGCTCACACTCCAACAGATCGTCAGGTCCCAAGTATCATTCGTCTCCATTCACTCCTATCTAACACGCTCTGCACGCTTGCTGGGAAATCCAAGCCCCTCCCCCAAAACCCCCTTTACCCCCTCTTTCCAACCCTTTCGAGGACGACCCTACCCCTTTCCTTCCCCTATAGATTTATATGCTTTCCCCTGTCATTCTACTTTGATCCATTCTCTCTAAATGACCCAAAACCCCCTCAACAACCCTTCTTCTGCCCTCTGACTAATGCTTTTATTAACTCCACACCTCCTAATTTCCACACTCCGAATTTTCTGCATAATATTTTTCACCACACATTGCCCTTAGACAGGACATCTCCACTGCCTCCAACCGTCTCCTCGCTGCTGCATTTACCACCCAAGCTTCACATCCATTTTAAGTGTGTTGGTACTACTATACTTTCATACATTCCCTTCTTTGCCTCCATAGATAACGTTTTTTGACTCCACATATACCTCAACGCACCCCTCACCTTTTTTTCCCTCATCAATTCTATGATTAACCTCATCCTTCATAAATCCCTCCGCCGACACGTCAACTCCCAAGTATCTGAAAACATTCACTTCTTCCATACTCCTCCCCCCAATTTGATATCCATTTTTCTTTATCTAAATCATTTGATACCCTCATCACCTTACTCTTTTCTATGTTCACTTTCAACTTTCTACCTTTACACACATTCTCAAACTCATCCACTAACCTTTGCAATTTTTCTTAGAATCTCCCATAAGCACAGTATCATCAGCAAAAAGTAACTGTCAATTCCCATTTTGAATTTGATTCCCCATAATTTAATCCCACCCCTCTCCCGAACACCCTAGCATTTACTTCTTTTACAACCCCATCTATAAATATATTAACCCTTTGACTGTCGCGGCCGTATATATGTTTGTGAGGTACCGTGTTTGACGTATAAATACTCATAAATTCTAGCGGCTTCAAATCAGGCAGGAGAAAGCTAGTAGGCCCACATGTGAGAGAATGGGTCTGTGTGGTCAGTGTGCACCACATAAAAAAAATCCTGGAGCACACAGTGCATAATGAGAAAAAAAAAACTCCGACCGTTTTTTTTAATTAAAATGCCGAATTTGTGGTCTATTTTCGTATAGTATTTGTGGTTGTATTCTCGTTTTCATGGTCTCATTTGATAGAATGGAAACTATATTATAGAAATGGAGGTGATTTTGATTAATTTTACTATAAAAAGAACCTGGAAATGGAGCACAAAGTACAGGAAATGTTTGATTTTTGCCGATGTTCAAAAGTAAACAAATGTCATTGTCCAATAAATGTCCAAATAGCCATTCTAATACACAGTCATGAATGGGTTGATGTAATTTTTACAATTATTACAGTATTGCAGTAGTCTGCATAACAGTAAATCTTCTATTTTTTGTTTGAATAAAATTTCAAAATAAAAAGCAAGAGTAATATCACAGGGACCTGGAGACATGACTGATGAACAAAGAAAATCTTATTTTAGAGCCAGGAATGTCTGCATTGTTCATTCTGGACCTTATTTTGAAATTGTCGTATTTTTTAATTTTCGTGAAATTGGCCAAATTGCAAATTTCTGACCATGTTATTGGGTAGTTGAAATCGGTAAATGGGCAGTTTCTTGTGCTCAATCGATAGAAAAAAATAGAGTTCTGAAGAAATAGTTATGAGTTTGGTTGACTGGAATAACGGAATTAGCCGAAAATAGGGCTCAAAGTGGGTGAAATTGCCGATTTTTAAATATCGCCGAAGTCGCTAACTTCGCGAGAGCGTAATTCCGTCAGTTTTCCATCAAATTTCGTTTTTTTGGTGTCTTTACAATCGGGAAAAGATTCTCTATCATTTCATAAGAAAAAATAATTTTTTTTTTTTTCGAATATTTTGCGACACCAGGAGCAACTTCAGGATTGGGCCCTTCGACAGTCAAAGGATTAAACAACCATGGTGACATTACACATCCCTGTCTAAGACCTACTTTTACCGGGAAGTACTCTCCCTCTCTTCTACATACCCTAACCTGAGCCTCACTATCCTCATAAAAGCTCTTTACAGCATTTAGTAACTTACCACCTATTCCATATACTTGCAACATCTGCCACACTGCTCCTCTATCCACTATCATATGCCTTTTCTAAATCCATAAATGCAATAAAAACTTCCCTACCTTTATCTAAATACTGTTCACATACATGCTTCAATGTAAACACTTGATCTACACATCCCCTACCCACTCTGAAAGCCTCCTTGCTCATCCGCAATTCACATTCTGTCTTACCTCTAATTCTTTCAATTAAACCCTATCGTATACTTTTTCCCGGTATACTCAGTAAACTTATTCCTCTATAATTTTTTACAATCTCTTTTGTCCCCTTTCCCTTTATAAAAGGGACTATACATGCTCTCTGCCAATCCCTAGGTACCTTCCCCTCTTTCATACATTTATTACACAAAAGTACCAACCACTCCAACACTATATCCCCCCCTGCTTTTAACATTTCTGTCATGATCCCATCAGCTCCAGCTGCTTTACCCCCTTACATTCTACGTAATGCCTCACGTACCTCCACCACACTTACATTCTGCTCTTCTTCACTCCTAAAAGATGGTATGCCTCCCTGGCCAGTGCATGAAATATATATGTATAATATATATATATATACAGTGGACCCCCGCATAACGATGGCATCACATAGCGATTAATCCGCATACCGCTTGCTTTAATCGCAAAAATTTTGCCGCGCATACCGATTAAAAACCCGCTCACCGATTTTCGTCCGAGACGCGTCCAATGTGCGCCCTCAGCCAGCCTCACATGTGCCGCCCGTGCCATTGTTTACCAGCCAGCCTCCGCGGTAACATCCAAGCATACAATCGGAATATTTCGTATTATTACAGTGTTTTCGGTGCTGTTTCTGGAAAATAAGTGACCATGGGCCCCAAGAAAGCTTCTAGTGCCAACCGTACACCAATAAGGGTGAGAATTCCAATAGAAATGAAAAAAGAGATCATTGATAAGTATGAAAGTGGAGTGCGTATGCCGACCTGGTCAAGTTGTACAAGAAACCCCAATCAACCATCGCTACTATTGTGGGCACCAGAAAGACAACAAGGAAGCTGTTCTTGCCAAAGGTTTAACGTGTTTTCGAAACAAAGATCGCAAGTGATGGAAGATGTTGAGAGACTCTTATTGGTGTGGATAAATGAAAAACAGCTAGCAGGAGATAGCGTCTCTCAAGCGATCATATGTGAAAAGGCTAGGAAGTTGCATGAGGATTTAATTAAAAAAATGCCTGCAACTAGTGATGATGTGAGTGAATTTAAGGCCAGCAAAGGTTGGTTTGAGAGATTTAAGAAGCGTAGTGGCATCCATAGTGTGATAAGGCATGGTGAGGCTGCCAGTTCGGACCACAAAGCGGCTGAAAAATATGTGCAGGAATTCAAGGAGTACATAGACAGTGAAGGACTGAAACCTGAACAAGTGTTTAATTGTGATGAAACAGGCCTGTTCTGGAAGAAAATGCCAAGCAGGACCTACATTACTCAGGAGGAAAAGGCACTCCCAGGACATAAGCCTATGAAAGACAGGCTTACTTTGTTGATGTGTGCCAATGCTAGTGGTGATTGCAAAGTTAAGCCTTTATTAGTGTATCACTCTGAAACTCCCAGAGCATTCAGGCAAAAGAATGTCCTCAAGGATAATTTGTGTGTGCTGTGGAGGGCAAACAGTAAGGCATGGGTCACTAGGGACTTTTTCTATAACTGGTTACACCATGCATTTGCCCCCAATGTGAAAGATTACCTAACTGAAAAGAAATTAGAACTTAAGTGCCTCCTGGTGTTAGACAATGCCCCTGGTCATCCTACAGACGTGGCAGAGCGACTTTATGGGGACATGAGCTTCATTAAGGTGAAGTTTTTGCCTCCTAATACCACTCCTCTCCTGCAGCCCATGGACCAGCAGGTTATTGCAAACTTCAAAAAACTGTACACAAAAGCTCTGTTTGAAAGGTGCTTTGTAGTGACCTCAGAAACTCAACTGACTCTAAGAGAGTTTTGGAGAGAGCACTTTAATATCCTCAATTGTGTAAACCTTATAGGTAAGGCTTGGGAGGGAGTGACTAAGAAGACCTTGAACTCTGCTTGGAAGAAACTGTGGCCAGAATGTGTAGACAAAAGGGATTTTGAAGGGTTTGAGGCTAACCCTGAGAGGATTATGCCACTTGAGGAATCCATTGTGGCATTGGGAAAGTCCTTGGGGTTGGAGGTTAGTGGGGATGATGTGGAAGAGTTGGTGGAGGAGGACAATGAAGAACTAACCACTGATGAGCTGATAGATCAACTTCAAGAGCAAGAGGCCAGACCTGAGGAAACTGGTTCAGAGGAGGGGAGAGAGAAATTGAAGAAGTTGCCTACTACAAAGATTAAAGAAATCTGTGCAAAGTGGCTTGAAGTGCAAACCTTCATGGATGAAAATCACCCTCACACAGCTATTGCAAGCCGTGTTGGCAACCTGTACACTGACAATGTTGTGAAACACTTTAGGGAAGTCATAAAGGAACGAGAGGTACAGGCCACTATGGACAGATATGTTGTGCGAAAGAAGTCCAGTGACTCTGAAGCTGGTCCTAGTGGCATTAAAAGAAGAAGGGAAGTAACCCCAGAAAAGGACTTGACACCTCAAGTCTTAATGGAAGGGGATTCCCCTTCTAAACATTAAGACTCTCTCCTCCTCCCATCCCATCAATCATCACCAGATCTTCAATAAAAGTAAGTGTCATGTAAGTGTGCATGCCTTTTTCAGTTTGTGTGTATTAAAATTAACATTTCATGTGGTAAAATTTTTTTTTTTTCATACTTTTGGGTGTCTTGCACGGATTAATTTTATTTCCATTATTTCTTATGGGGAAAATTCATTCACATACCGATTATTTCGCATAACAATTACCCCTCTTGCACGGATTAAAATCGTTATGCGGGGGTCCACTGTATTTGTGAGAATAAAAATTCAAAATGGAAAGCAAAAGAATGAAAGAGGGGCCTTGAGACGTGACTAATGAACAGAGTCAATTTTATTTTAGTGCCAGGAATGTCTTTCTTGTTTATTCCAGACCCTATTGGAAATTGGCATCTTTTGAAATTTGTGTGAAATTGGCAAAATTGCTAAATTCTGACCACTGTACTGGACAGTTGAAATCGGTAAATGGGTGGTTTCTTGTACTCATTCGATAGAAAAAAATGGAGTTCTAGCAAAATAGTTATGTTTTTGTAGACTAGTACACTGGAATTGACCGAAAATAGGGCTCAAAGTGGGCAAAATCGCTGATGCGTAAACATCGTCGAGACCACTAACTTTGAGAGAGCATAATTCCTTAAGTTTTCCATCAAATTTCATACTTTTGGTGTCATTATGATCGGGAAAAGATTCTCTATCTTTTCATAAGAATTTTTTTTTTTTTTTAAATTTGGGGGGGACCCTGAGAACAAGTCTCAGAGGGCCTATGGACCCTGAAAGGGTTAATAGTTAATAACAAAATGCTAAATATTTGCAGCTAGTTACAGACAACTATTCGGCCCAACTCTGGAATTAATTTACATTTTTCAACACATACAACCTATGTACATCATGGAATACATAAAGAACTTTGTGCAAATTATTTGGGAAGACATTAATAAAAATAGATTCAGCTACATTTGATTATTTACCTTAAACCAGTAAATGCCATCCTTAGGTGCCCATTTATAGTCAGGTGTGCTGTATAGTCAAAATAAATGTAATAATTTTCCTCTAAATCTCAAAATAATCTGCACAAGGCACAATTACACATTCCATGCTGAACACAGGTTTTATGAACTGTAAAATAATGAGGTCCAGCATGTACATGTCTACCATATTTTCATGCATCAAGTATATAAAAAAAAAGGGGTTTTAAGAAACCCCACCTTGGCAGGTTATTTGGATTTAATTTTTTTTTAACTAAGGGTTATGAATTAACCAGTTCTGTATCAACCCTAGGTCACATACCGCCTAGGAAATGGAAGGAATGTTTGGAATCAGGGTCGATCCAAGGAAAGAACAGATCCGATTCCTTACATCACAAGGCCTTCATCAAGAAACTTCACATATTAGCACCACCACAACTCAATGGCTAGTAAAACAGTAGTCTTACCAAACCTTAAACTATTAAAAAACTAAACCAGTGGGCAATTCTTTATTAACCTTATCTAACCAAGCCTATGTATAATTTATGCATACATACAGACATTGCATACCTATCCACGTATATCCATCCATGAGGAGGCGACTAGTAAAACTGCAAAATATATTAACATCTTAAACAGTGAAATTTATTCTTTAATATCTTAAAACTTTTTCCACAACTATTTAGGTAATCACCAGTGGGGACTCCTATGGATATTAATGTTAATATTTATGGGAAAGAACTAAACCTGTAGGAGTCATACAGCACCTGGGAGTGGGAGATAATGAGGCTGATCCAGGGGAAAGGTAGGGGGTGGCTTCAGTGTCTTGGACCAAGAGCCCTTCACCAGCATCAAGGCACCTCCCAAGAAGGGACCCCATGAAAAGAAATATATTTAGCATTATTTGAGTTATGCATTACCACAATAATATAAACCTTGGTAATAGATAACAACAAACTGGTTAACAAAAACATGAGGAGCAGCACTGCAGCAGGCCTACTGGCCCATGCTAGGCAGGTCCAAGTTACCTACTGGCTAGAAAGACAAGCAAGCAAACAGTATGACATTTATTAGAAAATGTTTCGGTCCTCGGACTTTAATCACTTCTAACATATATAATGTCTTTTTAACCTGTGTTAGACCTGTGTTAGAAGTGACGAAGGTCCCAGAACCAAAGCGTTTTCTAATATGTCCTAGTGTTCACTTACCTGTCTTTCTAAAGCATTACCACTATATCTGTAAAAAAGATCTCGATACTAGGCCTATATCCAGCCTAATGCCAACTCTGGCTTGGGGGACAACCCAGCCTAAGCCAGACCAGAGGCCTCAACAAACTACATCCCATAACAAAAATCTTAAAGCACTAATACCACTGAATCAAGATACAAACGGAGGCATAAAGAAACGAGTGACGTACCCATTGTTCAGGAACGCCAAGGAAGAACCGCTAGATGTTAATCAGAGATGTATGTTGATGGTAAGATTAAGATTTTAAGATAAGATAAGATTTCGTTCGGATTTTTAACCCCGGAGGGTTAGCCACCCAGGATAACCCAAGAAAGTCAGTGCGTCATCGAGGACTGTCTAACTTATTTCCATTGGGGTCCTTAATCTTGTCCCCCGGGATGCGACCCACACCAGTCGACTAACACCCAGGTACCTATATGCTGCTAGGTGAACAGGACAACAGGTGTAAGGAAACGTCGAATGTTTCCACCCGCCGGGAATCGAACCCGGGCCCTCCGTGTGTGAAGCGGGAGCTTTAGCCACCAGGCCACCGGGTTCGATTCCCGGCGGGTGGAAACATTTGACACGTTTCCTTACACCTGTTGTCCAGTTCACCTAGCAGCAAGTAGGTACCTGGGTGTTAGTCGACTGGTGTGGGTCGCATCCTGGGGGACAAGATTAAGGACCCCAATGGAAATAAGTTACAGTCCTCGATGACGCACTGACTTTCTTGGGTTATCCTGGGTGGCTAACCCTCCGGGGTTAAAAATCCGAACGAAATCTTATCTTATCTTATCTTAACCCGGGCCCTCCGTGTGTGAAGCGGGAGCTTTAGCCACCAGGCCGCCCAGCTACACTTGCCCCTGCCAGAGTGTAGCGCCAATAGAAGCGTTCAATTAGGATGAAACACACATATCCTGATTTGAAGTTATAATTATCAGAAAGATTAAAATTCGATAGAAACAATGGTACTGGTGTTTGCTAGAGACTTGCCTGTCTGACAGGTGAGTCGACTTAGACTTGAGTGTTGGTGGTGGTGGTGGTGGCGGCGGTAATGGCGACCAATGAAGCCAGCTCCTTCAAATAATAAACAAATGCAAACCAAAATCGTGTTAAAGTTTCCTTTCAAAATCTTTAGAAAGGAAAATTATCAATAAAAATTATTATTATGGCACTAAATAATTATTAGTAAATGATAATACCAAATGGTTTTCATTTTACATCGCCAAAAAGATTAATTTCTAAGCTTTCGTTTGATAATAAAGTATTCAGATTAACCGCGAAAATAACACCAAACACATAATTGTGACGTAAATATGACAAAATAAGACATAATACCACCCCCTCTAATACACACCAAAATGAAATTCCCGACACAAATTTCAAAAGGGAGAAATCCATATAGAAGAAAGATAAAATAATGTATTTGTGATCATTGTGTTCATGATGACGTCACGACCAAGGCTCAACACACCTCCCAGGCCGCAACACTTAGGCCTATGCTACACACGTGCAAATATACATGTACTTATATTAACATCGTGTACGTTTTCTCCTGAATAAGAGATTTCGTTCGGATTTTTAACCCCGGAGGGTTAGCCACCCAGGATAACCCAAGAAAGTCAGTGCGTCATCGAGGACTGTCTAACTTATTTCCATTAGGGTCCTTAATCTTGTCCCCCAGGATGCGACCCACACCAGTCGACTAACACCCAGGTACCTATTTGCTGCTAGGTGAACAGGACAACAGGTGTAAGGAAACGTGTCGAAATGTTTCCACCCGCCGGGAATCGAACCCGGGCCCTCCGTGTGTGAACCGGGAGCTTTAGCCACCAGGCCACCGGGCCACCTGAAATAGTCATCAAAGTCAATTATGACGTGTATGTCCATAGACATACAGGATGTATAATATATATATACACACACACACACATATATATATATATATATATATATATATAATATTATATATATATATATATATATATATATATATATATATATATTTACCTGGAGTTTACCTGGAGAGAGTTTCGAGGGTCAACGCCCCCGCGGCCCGGTCTGTGACCAGGCCTCCTGGTGGATCAGCGCCTGATCAACCAGGCTGTTGCTGCTGGCTGCACGCAAACCAACGTACGAGCCACAGCCCGGCTGATCAGGAACTGACTTTAGGTGCTTGTCCAGTGCCAGCTTGAAGACTGCCAGGGTCTGTTGGTAATCCCCCTTATGTGTGCTGGGAGGCAGTTGAACAGTCTCGGGCCCCTGACACTTATTGTATGGTCTCTTAACGTGCTAGTGACACCCCTGCTTTTCATTGGGGGGATGGTGCATCGTCGGCCAAGTCTTTTGCTTTCGTAGTGAGTGATTTTCGTGTGCAAGTTCGGTACTAGTCCCTCTAGGATTTTCCAGGTGTATATAATCATGTATCTCTCCCTCCTGCGTTCCAGGGAATACAGGTTTAGAAACCTCAAGCGCTCCCAGTAATTGAGGTGTTTTATCTCCGTTATGCGCGCCGTGAAAGTTCTCTGTACATTTTCTAGGTCGGCAATTTCACCTGCCTTGAAAGGTGCTGTTAGAGTGCAGCAATATTCCAGCCTAGATAGAACAAGTGACCTGAAGAGTGTCATCATGGGCTTGGCCTCCCTAGTTTTGAAGGTTCTCATTATCCATCCTGTCATTTTCTAGCAGATGCGATTGATACAATGTTATGGTCCTTGAAGGTGAGATCCTCCGACATAATCACTCCCAGGTCTTTGACGTTGGTGTTTCGCTCTATTTCGTGGCCAGAATTTGTTTTGTACTCTGATGAAGATTTAATTTCCTCATGTTTACCATATCTGAGTAATTGAAATTTCTCATCGTTGAACTTCATATTGTTTTCTGCAGCCCACTGAAAGATTTGGTTGATGTCCGCCTGGAGCCTTGCAGTGTCTGCAATGGAAGACACTGTCATGCAGATTCAGGTGTCATCTGCAAAGGAAGACACTGTGCTGTGGCTGACATCCTTGTCTATGTCGGATATGAGGATGAGGAACAAGATGGGAGCGAGTACTGTGCCTTGTGGAACAGAGCTTTTCAACCGTAGCGGCCTCGGACTTTACTCGTGACGACTACTCTCTGTGTTCTGTTAGTGAGGAAATTATAGATCCATCGACCGACTTTTCCTGTTATTCCTTTAGCAAGCATTTTGTGCGCTATTACGCCATGGTCACACTTGTCGAAGGCTTTTGCAAAGCCCTGTATATATTACATCTGCATTCTTTTTGTCTTCTAGTGCATTTAGGACCTGTCGTACTGATCCAATAGTTGAGACAGACAGGAGCGACCTGTTCTAAACCCATGTTGCCCTGGGTTGTGTAACTGATGGGTTTCTAGATGGTGGTGATCTTGCTTCTTAGGACCCTTTCAAAGATTTTTATGATATGGGATGTTAGTGCTATTGGTCTGTAGTTCTTTGCTGTTGTTTTAAACTGCCCCCTTTGTGGAGTGGGGCTATGTCTGTTGTTTTTAGTAACTGTGGGACGACCCCCGTGTTCCATGCTCCCTCTCCATAGGATGGAAAAGGCTCGTGATAGGGGCTTCTTGCAGTTCTTGATGAACACAGAGTTCCATGAGTCTGGCCCTGGGGCAGAGTGCATGGCATGTCATTTATCGCCTGTTCGAAGTCATTTGGCGTCAGGATAACATCGGATAGGCTTGTGTTAATCAAATTTTGTGGCTCTCTCATAAAAAATTAATTTTGATCTTCGACTCTCAGTCTGGTTAGCGGCTTGCTAAAAACTGAGTCATATTGGGACTTGAGTAGCTCACTCATTTCCTTGCTGTCATCTGTGTAGGACCCATCTTGTTTAAGTAGGGGGCCCAATACTGGACGTTTTTTCTCGATTTTGATTTGGCATAGGAGAAGAAATACTTTGGGTTTCTTTCGATTTCATTTATGGCTTTTAGTTCTTCCCGCGATTCCTGACTCCTAAAGGATTCTTTTAGCTTAAGTTCGATGCTTGCTATCTCTCTGACCAGTGTCTCCCTACGCATTTCAGATATATTGACCTCTTTTAGCCGCTCTTATTCTTTTCCCGTCGCCTGTAAAGGGAGCGCCTGTCTCTTTCTATTTTACATCTACTCCTCCTTTTTCTTAGAGGAATAAGCCTTGTGCATACATCGAGTGCCACCGAGTTAATCTGTTCTAGGCATAAGTTGGGGTCTGTGTGCTTAGTACGTATATCTTCCCAGCTTATATCGGTTAGGACTTGTTTACTTGGTCCCACTTTATGTTTTGTTATTGAAGTTGAATTTGGTGAATGCTCCCTCGTGACTAGTCTCATTATGTCGGTCTGGGGCTCCACGCATACATGTCTGAACCTCAATTATGTTGTGATCTGAGTATATTGTTTTTGATATGGTGACATTTCTTATCAGATCATCATTGTTAGTGAAGATGAGGTCTAGTGTATTCTCCAGTCTAGTAGGCTCTATTATTTGCTGGTTTAAATTGAATTTTGTGCATAATTTAAAAGCTCGTGTGAGTGGAGTTTTCATCAGAGCTCCCTCCTGGTGTTATTACGGCAACAATATTATTTGCTATATTCCTCCATTTTAGGTGCCTTAAGTTGAAATCCCCCCAGGAGCAAGATATTGGGTGCAGGAGCTGGAAGATTTTCCAGACAGTGGTCAATTTTTAACAGCTGTTCCTGGAATTGCTGGGATGTTGCAATCCGGTTGTAGACTACCAAAATGACTAGGTTTTGGTTCTCGACCTTTACTGCTAAAACTTCCACTACATCATTTGAGGCATTAAGCAGTTCTGTGCAAACAAGTGACTCTGCAATGTACAGGCCAACCCCCCCCTGTAAATATAAAAGAAACACTACCTGTTTATAAATTCAAGTCTCTTCTCAAAGATCACTTACTCACCCAAAACCAAATAAATACTGAATAACTGAACCTTATAAATTGTATATCTTAAATGTTTCTCATAATTATATCACACAAATGTTAAACCTAAGACCCAATCTAACTTTGTTATTTTTTAAATACACTACCTAACAGAATACTTAATTCTACTGAATGTAACAGCAATACATGCAACCATATGACCTGTCTTTGTAATACTCATTTGTGCTTTATTGTTATCTGTTTACAATAATGTTTTATCACTGATTACATCATTGCTTAGTTAATCTTAAGTTAATTTTAAGCCTGCCCGTAATGCTATGCATACAAGTGGCTTTGGCATGCTGCTCTTACCTGTATTTTTTGTACCTCTGTATGTTCAAATTATTAAATAAAATAAATAAATGTCCTGCTCACTCTGTACTACTTCTACTCTAAACCTTACCCCCCATATTCACTTGTGGTAATGTGTGTATGGGAATCAACAATAAGATTTAAATTGTGTCTTTAATTCATTGTTGCAGCCACCAAAGTTTCCAGAAGTGTATGTAAAATTACTAACCAAACAAGGAAAATAGAAAAACAAATAGGTAAGAAAAAAGGGGTAATGGGAACTGCCTATCAGAAGAAAACAAAAGCACTATCCATCAGTCGTGAAACCATAACTTGATGATCAGTATATTTTCTTCAGAATTAATTCAGTAAGGCCTAGCACAAATGCCTGATTAGGCCAAGAGTATCCATAACCATTTGGCTAATCAATTATAAGCCTACCCATAAGGAACACCAGAAGTCTTACATCTGTTTGTCACCAACTTGTGGACCGAGACAATATCAACTAGAACCTGCCATAAAATAATTTATTTACAATGTTTCAAACTGGTAACTTGTTTAACCAATTGCTTGTTATTCAATTGCGCTAAAGGCCCACTAACTACCTCTTTGTTGAAAAAAAAAAAAAATGATGTGAATTCGAAAAAAAAAAATACCAACTGATATATATGCCTATTATTAAGTAGTCAGTTAAGCATTTAGGTTTTAATCTGCCCGAAATCCCCGGGGGGCAGGCATGATAGACTTTGTTTGTACTTAACAAATGAAAATTGCAATTATACATTGTAAACTATGTAAGGAAATAAAACCTTTAATCCTTACGTAGTGCTGAATGTTGAAGACAGAGTAACAACAACTGAAGCAAAATCATGTTCATAAAATGCTCACGAACAGTGTCCAGAATATCTTGCTGTCAATTTTGT